TGATAAATTTAGTTGAAATTTGATTCAGAATGAAATAATTAGATTAAATAAAGCTCGATTGCTTAGTGGTAAGGTAATTAAGCAATTTCCTTAAACAAGCCTATATAAGGCCATTGATTCTAGACCACTTATATACAACACTATATTTTCTTCTTTTTGTGAGCCAAACATGAGGGAGAGAGAGAGAGTTAGGGAGAGTTGAGATCAACAAGGGAAGTGCAAGACTTGGGGGGGAAGATTTAGCTTGGAAGTCAAGGATTTGAGCTTGAAGTCTTGGTGTGTTCATCATCTAGAACCTACTTGAGGAGTTGAGGTAGTATTCAACACCTAAATTATACAATTATGATGAGTAGAACATGAATTCAAGAGGAATAAGTTGAGCGAAGCAAGAATTGAGCTAATAGGTTGGTAAGAAGATCATGTCATGCATGCATGCATATTTCATAGCATCTTGAAGTTGTTTTCCCAAGAATTTCCTCATGCATGTTACTAACTCACCTTAGTTTTGGGAATTCATCAAGTTTCATGTCATTTTGTGTCATTAGATCATGTTTTGAAAGTTTTGAAGTCCAAGCAATATATGCATTTATGCATGTTATATTTTCTAAGAATTGAGTTTTGTTTTGCACAATTGGCAAGCTTTTGGGCTTTGATTCTGCGAAATGATTTAGAATTCCCAATGTTTTCCAAGTTCACATATGATTCCTCAAGTTTTAGCCGAAAAGGATGAGTTTTGACGTATTTGATTTGAGTTTGGAAGCTTGGAGGTGAATTTGGAAATTCCATAATTCGACTTCTCTGCTCGAGCGACAGATCCTACACTCGAGCGACCATCTTTATTTTTTGCACTTCCGCTCGAGCGACCAAAAGTTGGCTCGAGCGTAAAATGCATGCTCCCAGAAGTTCACATGTTTTGCAGACCGCTCAAGCGACAAGAGTTGCGCTCGAGTGAGGACCTGAGTCTCACACTCGAGCGACCGTCGAGCGTCATTCGATCATGAAAATCAAGCAACCAGTACTTTTGCAGAGTTTATAAAATACTCGAGCTACAGAAGTGGCGCTTGAGCGAGCACTCACATTTTTGCATGTCTGCTCGAGCAAAGGAAGTTGCACTTGAGCAGGACCCCTATTTTCTGCAAGTTTTGTTAAATGTTTCCAAGTATATTTTAGCATCCTCGTTGCATCCTAGGCATTCCTAGGCTAAGATTAAGACACAATACACTAAGAACGAAATGAGATAAGTCATGTACGATCCAAACGTGTGTTTCAGTATATGTATATGTTATGTTTATGTAGATCGCGCACCGTAAGCTGTTGATCCATTGGTTGGCTATCGAGCTGTACAACAATCTGTGAGTAATAACTTAGTAAAGCTATGTTTGGTATGAAAATACTTTTCAAATATTATGGTATGATGTGAAATGTTTCTGAAAAGGCTATTTTGTAATTCCATGAATGATGATCCATATTTTTTAAATATATTTGTGGTGTCCTTAGCAGAGGCCCTCTGTGACAGCCCTCACCACTGATTAGTGCTAATCTATGATTAAGCATGTTAAATGATTGATTGACTGAAATCCTGAACTGGTTGATCGAATGTATAGTTTAAATGCATGTCTATCTGTTTGACTGCTAAATGATCTGTTCATGTTTTATGTTTTAACCTGCAAATTGAAGGCCTTATCGGGCGCCGAATCCGAAATTGATTAATGTTTTATGCTAATTGAAATTTATGTGATTTTGTGGTATATTTGATTGAAATGTGATTTGGTATGATTAAATTGAATTAATTAGAGCTGTATCACATTAGTTTGCCTTTATTTCCATTTTGCCACTTAGTGGGTTATGCTAGACCACTCCTTCTCTCACCCTTTGTATTGTCTTAGCACCTTTTCCTCATTCATTCTTGAGACTAAACTGATTGAGAGAGGGAGAGTAGGAGAACAAGTTGATTTCTACAAGTCTTGCTTGAATCTAAAGGAATTGAAGAGCATTTTACATATTTGAGCCTCTACATCTTGAATTCAAGACCAAGGTAGAAAATTTACCTTCTTGTTTGTGAATTTAAGTTAATTCTTGCATGGCTCGTGGTAATTTAGTCATCTAAGTCTAGAATTGGTTTACAATGTTGAATTGAGAGCTAGATCATGCATGCATGCTCTTATATTGAGGTTTTGAAGTTGTTTTCATGAAATTTGTTACATGCATGTCCATATCTTGATTTTAGATCATGAAATCATCTTGTTTTTGAGGGAATTGGCTCATTGGAGCATGTATTAGAAGCTTTGAACTCATTAGAACACATGCATGTTGTGTTTGATCATGTTTTTGAAGTTTATTTGAAAATTGTGTTTAATTGAATTACTTTTGGGCTTTGATTTCTCAAATTGAGCTTTGAATCATGTTATACTATGAATTTACAAGTGTTTTACAGAAAATTGGCCCAAAATGATCGAATTTGATGCATTGAAGCTGAGTTTTGAGCTTGAGATTCAAATCTGAAAATTCCAGATTTTGGACTCACGCTCGAGCAAGGAACTCCACGCTCGAGTGTACGCCTTATGTTCATGCAGTCCGCTCGAGCGAGGAAAGTGGCGCTCGAGCGTGAAATGCGTGTATCCAGTACTTTGCATGTGTTTATAGTCCGCTCAAGCGAGAGCATTCACGCTCGAGCGAGAGAGTTCACGCTCGAGCAAGGACTTGTGTCTCACGCTCGAGCGTGTATCAAGCGCCCGTCGAGCGTGATTTTTATGCATCCAGTATTTTTACTGTAGCTTACAATCTGCTCGAGCGACGGAAGTCACACTCGAGCGGAGCTCCTTTGTCTGCATGTCCGCTCGAGCGTATAAAGCCACGCTCGAGCGAGACCCTGTTTTCTGAAAAGTGTTTTAAAGTGCACATTTGCATCCTCATTCCATCCTAGGCATTCTTAGGCCTAGTTTAAGGCATCTTAATGAGGATATTGATGTAGAACCACACCGAGGCAAATTAGGGATTAAGTTATTATTTTTTCAACTGTGTAACTTAGTGTGTATTCGTTCTGTAACTGTGTAGGGTTGGCATCCGAGGACGCGTACTAGCTTATCTATAGCCCAGAACTCTGTGAGTAACTATGTTGTAAAGATATGTTCAATTGAGATTATTTTCTGAATAAATGACTGTACTGCTTTATGAAATGACACTGTTTACTGAATGAATGTTTGCCCTATTTATGAACTGTATTCGTGACATCCATAGCAATTTACTGTTACTGAATTGTTACTGCTACTGTTACAGAGATCTCTGTCGGTTCCCATGTTGGAAGCACTACTGTTTACTGATATGATGGCCATCATTGACTGCTCGGTCTGTTAAGACCTATTGTACTGTTTTGCTATTGGATGTACCACATATGACTATTATAGTTTCTGAATGACTGTTATGGCATGAATTATGAGCCACAAACTGAATGACTGATATACTGATAATTGACTGTTTTCAATACTAAAAGGACATTCATTCTTAACCTCTTTACGCATATGTTATTCACTGGGTTTTAGCTTACTGTTTATATAGATGCAGGTGTCCAGGCACCGAATCGGAGCTAGGAGCGTTGGGTTAAACTCCCTTTTTGTCAAGCCAACCACTGTGCCTCACTACGAGGTTCCATGTACCGCCAAGCTAAGGCTACTTCGGGGCGTTTTAGATTTTCCCCTTTCTGTCTCTGTATTGTATAGACTGTATAGACTTGTACTGTACTGTTGTGGTAGGGACTTGGTCCCTAACCTAAATGATTGTATATGATGTACATATATACTGTTATGGTTTGAATGTGTACATGTTTAAAAAAAAAATTTGCATACAGACTGTCACAGCTCATTGGATATCTTTTATTACTGATTTGGCTTCCGCCAGGCCCTGTACTCTGTATTATTGTCTTACTGATAAGCAGGCCTTCGGTAATCATGGATTATTGGCTGGTTACGATGCTAAACTCATAGGGGCGGGTTTGGGTCGTGACACCCTCTCTCAGGAGAAATAGTACTGTGGCTTATGGTCATGAGGCCCTTGCCCGGGGAAATAACACCATGGCTCATATATGAGATATGTTACCCGGTACCGGAGGTTCCATTATGGAACTTGATATGCTTGACCAAAGAGATATGTTAATGCTAATGGATGTACCACACATGATTTGAATATGGTTATGACTATGACTCTGTTTCTGATATGAACATGCCTATGTTTTTGTTTGATAAGAGATTTGAAATCCAAATCCGTTACGGTCATCATTCATTAAAACCTTTACTTTGTTATTATTCACTGGGCTCCAGCTCACTGTATTATTTATGTATGTAGGTGATCAGGTGCGTGACCAGGCCTAGAGCTTCTGCCTAGACTCTATTTTGTCAGCCAACCTATGTGCCTCCCGTGGAGGTTCCGGATTTGTCTAGTGGATATGGCTATGTGCATGAAGTTCAAGCTTTGTTTTCTTGTTTGAATAAACGAATCTTTGTTTATTTTGTAAATAGGGCTAAGTCCCTTTTGTCCAATCTATATATGTATATATGATGACGTAAGAATGATGTGTAGATATGTATATAAAAAAAAATTTTAAAGTTTTTCTATCTCATGTATGTCTACACAGCTCAAAGGGCTACGTATATTTTATATTTGCTTATGCTAGCCCCTTATATTTTGTTATTCAGGTCAAAGGCCTTCAGTAATCCGATGTTTACTAGCCGGTTACGATGCTAACCTGTAGGAGTGGGTTTGGGTCGTGACACCTACTCTATCTTTTCGTGCGTGTATGAAAAATTCTATCAATTTAGACAAAATAAGTAACGCCAAGGAGGTAAATTGTAAAACAACTAAAACCATATGAGGGGTAAGCGGTTATTTTCAAATGACAAGGGGTAATGTCACGACCCAAACTTGTCCCTAAAAGTGTAGGCCATGATCGGCCTATATTTAGGCCTCAAACAAAAATTTGAAAATTTAAATCATATTGAGGCCTAAAGCGGACGCAAAATAAATAACAAAACGTCCATTGAGCAGTGCTTATGTGCCAGGATTAATCATGCCATATAAAGAGTTCACAACCCAAAATTTACATATTAACTAAGTATTCAACAAAAGTCACCAAAACTTAACTAAAATGTGGCATCAAGGAACTCTTCAAAAGGACAAAAGACTCCAATTTTGGAGGCTTAGCAAAACAGGTCCCACAAAAGTTTCCTGAAGCTGACCTAGGGTTGACCTCAGAGCTGATTACCTACATAAATATATATACACATAAAGTAAGCGAAGCTCAGTGAATAATAGTAAAGAAAAGAGAATCCAATAAAAAGGTTTGAATTAAATAAGAGCATCTGATGTAACCCAATATTTTTCCAAGGTATAATATTTAGAGCATTCATCATAGTCACGTTAAGCATAGTGTTATTCATAATCACATTTTCAGAACGACCTCAGGCCCGCTTATTTCGGAACGGCCTCAGGTCCACATGTAACAGAATGGCCTCGGCTCCAATCACGTGTTAACAGAACGGCCTCGGGCCCAATCATACTAACAGAACGGCCTCAGGCCCAATCATAATAACAGAACGGCCTCGGCCCAATCATACTAACAGAACGGAACGACCCTGGGTCCATTTCATATGCCATTGTGATCCAACGTTCAATCATCTCTAATAAAACATAAGTTGTATAAAACGTGTCAAAGTACATAAACATAACAAATAATCATAACATATCGTTACACTACTATTACTCACAGTGATCCGGTCATGCGATGGTCCCTTCCGATGAGTGACCTACACATTACACACATAAATTGATAAGCAATGCATTCTTTTCTTAGCTTCTTGTCTTTCATCATTCTTTTGTTTCGTTCCCTTTTTATTTATTTTTAAGCATTTCAGAGGGCTTAAACATATACATACACAGAGGTGTACAAAAAGATGTAGATTTTCTACCTGTTTCCCACACGTGCGAAAGGCCCCACCGCACGTACTTTTTATTTCAAAATGATGAAGTTGCTTCCCCTGTTTTCTGCGTGTGCAACTGTGAGTCCTACGTGTGCCCTGCATGTGCAATCCGAAAATCCAACAAACTCAAGCTTTCCAAATGTATTTCTAGGCACAATTTAAGCAATTTCACTTCAAAAACATGATATACAACCATGATAAGCATGAAACTCAAGCTTAATATGATCATAACCTACTTTAATTGGACGTATACAACTCTAATTTCCATATTTCCTTCACTTCTTTCATCTTCTCAAATTATACATGTTTGTATATGTTTATATGTCTTCACAGCATACAAATCTTCAAGCTTAGATACAATTTCTCACAATCAAACTCAAATCACACTAAAAATGAGGAAATCAACTCTTAAATCAAACAAATGTGAGGAATCTATGTTCATTTCATAATATTTGTTCAAGCAAGATCATCATTCTAAAACCCTAACTTATATAAATGGAAAAAACTTCATTTAATACAAATCAAGTCCCAAAACCTTTCAAAACCATGTTGAATTAAACAATTTTACCTTCAATCAAAATCACAATTTCAAAGCAAAACCAAAGTTCCATTTCAAAGACTTGAAGTCAAGCACAAAATTAAAAGCTACACATATGATGAGTTCTAATTTCAAAATCCATAGAGAAAGTCCCTTGAAATTTTAAGAATCTTAGAAATCATGCAAGAAAACAAGGTATAAACATGAATCCCATGAAATCATGCTATGTTCTTGCCTTATATGACAAAATACATGTAAAAGCTTTCATAAAATCCAAAAGCCAACTCTTAATTCATGATCTTCAAGGTTTGAGAGGTAAAATCTTACCTAAAGTCTTCATAAACACTTGATCTAACATAATCTTGATAAATCCAAGCCAAATCTTGAGTTTCTTAAGAGCTCTCTCTCTCTCTCTGGAACTCTCTCTTTCTCTCCATGTTTTTGTCACTTCAAACGACTAAAGATGAGCTCAAATATATATATAACATGTCATATATCTATTTAGGCCAACCAAACATAACTTAACGAATTAGATGAAATCAATTTTCAATTAAACTATCCAAATGGCTCTAAAAATTCCCATTAGCGTATCCATGTACTCAATTTTGGTTTCTGAACTTATTAAAGTCGTCAATTTCAGTTTACTTAAGAGTTTGGCTTAAACAAATCTAATTAATTCATCACGAATCAAATTGTTATAAAACTTCATATTATATTCTAAAAATCGTGCTAATCATAAAGTAAAGTCAATTTCGGTTTATTGCACCTCCAAGGTTTTCAATTTGCAGTCCAAAAATCGTAATTTCAACATATTTTCTTATAACTGACAAATACAATCTCATAAGCACATAATTCACACATTTAAACATGCAATTTTACATCAAACATATAATCACACAGATAATGAGGGAATTAGAGTATAAGCAGCATATGAGAGAGTCAAGTTATTACAGGTAAAGTGCAAATGGCCTAAACCATAAGAGGTGAAGCGAATTTTGCCCTTATTTTAATGATCTGAATTGTTAATACTGTAGAGTTCGTTGAGTAGATTATCCATGAAAAAATTCAAATTAATTAGACATCGGTAACCCACAGACAGCAAGACCATGTTTATGCTTAGAAAAATGAACGGTTAGCATGATTTTAATAATTTTTTTAAGGTTATTATTTGGCTTGATCATGGGGTTATACTTATTGGATTAATTTCATTTTTTTATATGAATAATAAACTCAACAAATCCTATAATATGAACTGCTCGGATTATTAAAATATGATCAGAACAAACCGCATAGGGTGTGACAGCACGAGTGCTGTCACAACACCCATCCCCAATCTTGAATCATTCATTTTGTAGAGCCCTCAATATATATTATCTATGAAAAAAATTACTTTGATCCCATAATCGTAACCATTTTATTTTATCGTATTTGTCTTTAAAAAAAATGAACGACTAATATATTGTTAAAAATAGGCCATCTATTTTTTTAATAAACATGATAAAATTAAAAAGTTACGATTATCAGATTGAACTATTTTTGTTATCCCAAATAGGCAACCCAAGAGGGTGGGTGAATTGGGTTATTAAAAATTTCACAATATTAAAAATAACACAATATTCAGAATTTTAATAAAAAAAAAATAGAATAATAATTATCAATATAAAAGTAGAAGAGATAGAGAGAGAAAATCAAACACTGCGATTTATAGTGGTTCGGCACGCCAGGCCTACGTCCACTCCCCAAGGAACCTCCTTGAGAATTTCTTTACTATCAATTGAATAAATACACCACCAAGCTTGTGGATTTGGCACAAGACTTACTCTTATCTATTGAGCCTCACTCAACAATAAATGCCTTACCCTTACAAAATCTCTCACAAAAATAAGGAATAAGAATAAGTGGTAATTGAACCCACTTTTACAATAATTCTCTCACAAAGAGTATTTTTTTTTTTTCAAAGAGTAAGGAGTGAATACACCAATTTATAGAAAATTCAGAAAATTTATAAAAACAGAGCATTGAAATTTATAGAAACATTCAGCGAAAATTTATATGCATTATAAGGGAGAAAGGGAGAGAAAGAAAAATCAAAGAAATCTGGAACAACGAGGGAATAAAACCCTCTTTGTTCAGTTCATATAGAATAGTCCTTGAATCGACTGTTAACTTCTAAAATAGTCGCTTATTCCATTTTAAAAAAAATTTAACTGCCAATCAAACAGTTTCTGGCTTGCTAATTTTCTGGCTTGCTAATTGACTGTCAACTGCTAATTTTCCTCTCTCTGTTTTGATTCTGCAACCTCCAACAACTCTGCACAAGTGACACTACTATTCTTCTCTATCATTTCACTCTTCAAATGGTTTTCTCTCTATATTTCGATGGAGTTTGTTTCTGCATCAATTTCTAAATGAACTGACATTTTCTAGCACACAACATCAATTTCAAAAGGTTAGATAGAGTAGTGTATGCCCGTGATTGGATAAAAGCAAATAATCCTAATTTATTTGATGTAGAGGACTACATTATAGCACGTTTGAGAAAATGTGGGTTCATACTCATCATCTGCACTATCCTAAAATAATAATGTAGGTTGTTACACGTTTGAGAAAATGTGGGAAATATATATATATATATATATATATTTTCTTTTAAAAAGATAATATTTTGGGTCAAATACATATATATATTAAAAAATTCAAATTGTTACAAATAATATTTTAGACATCATCAAAATTAAATAATATGATTAACAATCTCCCCCTTTTTGATGATGGCAATATTTGTATGGATTTGACACAAAATAAATTTCTGCAACATATAATTTTCAAAATCACATATAATTTTCAAAATCATATTTTTTCTCCCCCTTTGACATCATCAAAATAAAGATGAAGATAAAAAACAAGCACATTTGATACAATAATCTGAATGGCCAAAAATAAAATAAGGGGCCGTCTGTCTTGTCGGAATCATTGTGGGGATTTTGGAGCATCTCGAGTGCAGGAAATATTGACAAATAAAAGATTTGAGCAAATATAGCAGATATGCATTGAGTAATGGATCATTGAAGTGTATAAAAAGTGACACAGATTAGAGGCAAAGAGACGAAATCATCAAGTGTTTGAGAAAAAAAATTTTTTTAGCTCCTTTTGTAATCATGTCATTCCTTACCTTAGCTATCAATGAGTTGGACCTGCATGAGGTGCCGGTAATGCAGGCAAATGAGAGAGTACCAGTGACGCAGGCATATGCTATGCCTATAAATGAGGGTTCTAGTGTTATTGGTAATCGAAATGATTTCGATGCTATTAATAACACTATGGCTCTTAGTACACAGGCTATGACTGCAGTTTCCAATATGGCGCGACGATTACAAGCAAGAGTATAAGAAAATCAGCAATGGAGAGATGAGGTGTGCTTGTTAAAACAACAAGTAGTGAATATGTGTAAGGAAAAGAAAGAGTTAAAAAGGAAAAATGCACAGTTGGAGAATGCAGTGCATTATTATGCAACGGTGATAATGCCAAGACTCACAGAAATCGAAAATAGAGAGAGGCATGTAAAAGAGGCTCATGAAAAATTGTTGAGAGAAGTGAAAAAGAAAAAATCTGTGAAGCCTTCTGAAAATTTACATGTAATCGAGTAATATTTTCTTTTTCTGAAATAAAAGTGTGAGCATTTCTGCTTTTATTTATTTATTTATGTAATTTTTATTTATTATTATTATTTTTTAATGCTGTCGTTGCACAAAAAAAAATTTGTTTGTTGGTGCAGACAAGGAGTATGGCAGATAAGGAGTAAAAAAAAATATGTATATATACTCCCCCTAAAATTATGCACAGAATCTACACATGCCCATTTTTTTTATATAGTTTTATAAAGAAAATATATGAGTCTCCCCCTGAATTAATGCACTAAAAATTACATAAATTTGAAGAGACAAATTACCAATCTATAATACCAAGGGCCATTAAGATCCGGCCATAAACAATTACACAAAGTGCACTAGCATAAAAGGAGAAAATAAAAATAAAAACAATTTCTTCAGACAAGGTAGAGGCAACCATATTAAATCCAAGAGAATTTGGAGCACATACAACAAGTAAAAAAATATAACACAGTGCAACAAGAATTTTAACATGTTGATCGGTGATAACCTCGATGAACGGAAGAAATTGAGACGATTGGATAGATCGGTGACGAATTTGTCTAGATCGGCAATGGATCTTGATGGATCAGTCATGGATCTTGATGGATCGGTAATGGAACTTGATGAATCGGTGAAGATGGTGATGCAGATTTCGGGTGGAGAAGTGATGGAGTTTGGAAGATTGGTGAGGGATTTGGATGGATGGTGATAGTGATGAAAGTGATGGATGATTTTGTGGATGGTGGAGTTGGTTGTAGGCTATGGTGAGGGTGGAGATGGAGTCGGCTAAGGGTAGAGGAAGAAGGGGAGAGCGAGACAGCAAGAGAAGGAGAAAAAGATAGAGTAAGGGAGAGAGTGGGTAAGAGATAGAGACGGAACGGGAGAGAGAGAGAGAAATTATATATATAAATATATGTATATTAT